ACTTATTTTTAGAAACCCATCATGCCACCCAAGTGATAAAGTGCACACATTATTTTAATTAACAAGCATTCCATTCCATTTCAAGGACTGTGGTCTTACTTAATTCAAACCTAGGCCTACTAAACTAACAACCATAAAAACAAGTTCTAACATTTTTATCGATTGTAATACATTTCGGTGGATATTTTTATATCCTATATTTATTTCCTCCGATAAATAATTTTTTTAGAATAATTATAATTTAAAGATTTATTGTGCATAAAACCATTGACTAATATAATATACCTACAGATGTTAAAACTGTTTACTCCATGGATGAAAGAAATAATAGAATTCACTTCGGTCTCTAGAATTCACAACAGAATTGTTGCTCGTAAAATGTAAACAAAAAAAAGAAGAAGAAGGTAGCTCATAATGTTATTCTTATGGGGGAAAATTAAAATGGTTTTTTTAGGATTTTATAATTATTACTGAACAAATAATCTCCAATAACGAACTTAACCGAGATAATATGATAAAGAACCTTTGTGCAAAACATCAACTTGATATACGAAGTTATATTCGAGTTATTGGAGATTGATGAGATGCATTTTACACCAGTATGAGAATTCACTTCGTTCATTCAATTAGTTATTAGTTTACATAATAAGATGGGCCAATGCCGCCCCTATGACCTATATAAAAGACTTTGGTAATGAGCAAATTTCGAACCAATTATATTCGCAATTAAACTAATAAATGCTTGTAAAAACTAAACGAAATGTAAATACGAGTCTATAAAGTCAACGCTCAAGTTTTTGAAGCTGGAACAGTTTATTTTGTCAGTTAAGTGTTAAATCTAACAAGATCCTTTTAAGATGAAGAGTAAGAGTGTTTCACTGAACGATGTCAAGCTTTGTTGCTCGGAAGGATGTCAAGGTGTTACAATAATGTCTCTTCCAACTGAGAGCACGAGAAGAAAATCCTTTTACGTGACATTTAACATATTAGTCGTAAATTACGTAAGTTAATATTCAAACAAAACAAGTACAGTTTATTTTGATTTGCTAAAACTGCATTGTATCACTTGTTATTGCGGTTTACTCGATTGCACAATTAATAATGTTTACACAAATATAGAACCTACCTACCTATACCCCTACCTATATCCCAGGATTACCAAAGTTTATAATTGCAAAGATTACAAAATATAAGTGCCAGATTATCCAAGTTCTTTAAAAATTTTCTTTACAAACAATTATATTGTTATTGTGTGCTCCCGTTGCATTTTGAATGCAAGTGACTCAAACTATTTTAAGGGAAAGCGGACTAAACGCTTCAATATGTCCTGTGGATGCCGGAAATAGAACTCGTTCCTACTACATCTCGGTCCGAGGTATAGGTACGGAGCTAGGGACACCCCACAATTACACTGTATTTACAGAGTGTCCCGTAAGTAGGTACAAAGAATTCAGGAATATGTTTATTTGGTCAAAATAAAGCGAAAATCAAGTACAATATTTTCCTCAAAAATGCCTTTTTATCGAGATATTCGCCCTTTGTGGGTTTTAAATTTACATCTTAAACCATCTATAAGATAGATACATTTATGAAACTTTGTATACACTTGTATTAAATCAAAATGTATATACGAAAAAAACTTATTACTACAAAATAATTTTTTGTTTCAAAATGGCTGCCATTTTTATTATACCAACCTAGATAACTAAAACTATTTTATAAAAAAAAAAATGGCAAGGACACTTTAAGCAGTCCTTGTCAAACGACACCATGTTTAAAAATTTCGAAAAATAAATAGCTGAGACAACGTTGTTTAGTTGTATAGGATAGGCAAAAAAAACCTGAAGTCTGGGTTCGCCTCATTTTGCGCAAAAAATGTGATTTCTTACAAATTTATTTTTTGATCTTTTTGAGCTTAGTGTTGTTTTATAGATAACAACTCTAAATGCCAAATACAAGTTTCCTTGGCATTTTTTTAAATCGGCTATTTATGGTAGATTAAGTAAAAAAACAAATAATAAAAAAAAATTGTTTCCAATTAGAAACCGAAAAAATATTTTGTACTGCTTTTTTTTACCTAAACACATTATGACTTGATAAAATTGTATACCAAGTTTCATAAAGATATCCTAAACAGTTTTTGAAATATAAATTTAAACCCCAACAAAAACAACATTGCGGATGCCTCGCAAACTAGGTTTTTTATGTGCTGATTATTCTTTAAGTTTTATTTTGGCCCAGTACACCTATATCAGAATTATTCGTACGTACTTATGGGACATTCTGCAAAGTTCTTTATTAGTCTTTGTGGGTGGTAAATAAATAAATGTCCAGGGTTTACAATAATTAACGCATAATCCTTTTATTAATCAAATTTTACGAATAGGGTTATAAATTATACAGGGTTAGTAAAAATTGTGGAGACCCCCTGTTATTTTTTTAACGGTCCATACTAGAAAAACTAAACTCGGCACACCTTTATGGCATGTTATGAAGTACTTTTTTGGCATAACTATCACTTGGTGTATATCCCCGAAATGGAGGATTTTGGGGGAAACTCAAAAATTTCAAATACAAAGACCTATCGAGTGACCCCTCATTTTGAAGGTCCTGGTATAAGAAAACAAAAACCGCAAACTAGAGGTCTTTATCTCAATCCAGTAAAAAATGGCAGCCAATTGAAATTCTCAGAAGTTGAATTTAACTTGCAGCTTTCCAAGTCTGGAGACCCCCTGTAAATTTTGTAGCGGCTCACACTAGGAAAACTAAACTCTACACACCTTTTTGGCATGTTATGAAGTACTTTTTAAGCCTAATAGCTACTTGCTTACCAAACCCAAAATGGGGGATTTTGGGGGAAACTCAAAAGTTTTAAATGACAAGCACCATCAAGTGACCCCTCATTTTGAAGGTCCTGGTAAAAGAAAACTAACATATCAAACTAGAGGTTTGTATCTCAATCCAGTAAAAAATGGAAGCTGATTGAAACCTTTAGAAATTGGAAATGACTTGCAATTTTATATTCAATTGGCTGCCATATTTTACTGTGTTAAGATAGAGACCTATAGTTTGCGTTGTTAGTTTTCTTTTATTATGACCTTCAAAATGAGGGGTCACTCGATGGGGCTTATCATTTAACATTTTTGAGTTTCCCCCAAAATCCCCCATTTTGGGTTTGGGACTTTCAATGAGAATTTCAATTGGCTGCCATTTTGTACTGAACTGAGATAGAGACCTCTAGTTTGCGTTGTTGGTTTTCTTTTACCAGGACCTTCAAAATGAGGGGCCACTTGATGGAGCTTATCTTTTAAAACTTTTGAGTTTCCCCCAAAATCCCCCATTTTGGGTTTGGTAAGCAAGTAGCTATTAGGCTTAAAAAGTACTTCATAACATGCCAAAAAGGTGTGTAGAGTTTAGTTTTCCTAGTGTGAGCCGCTACAAAATTTACAGGGGGTCTCCAGACTTGGAAAGCTGCAAGTTAAATTCAAGTTAAATTGGCTGCCATTTTTTACTGGATTGAGATAAAGACCTCTAGTTTGCGTTTTTTGTTTTCTTATACCAGGACCTTCAAAATGAGGGGTCACTCGATGGGGCTTAAAATTTGAAATTTTGGAGTTTCCCCCAAAATCCCCCATTTCGGGGATATACACCAAGTGATGGTTATGCCCAAAAAGTACTTCATAACATGCCATAAAGGTGTGCCGAGTTTAGTTTTTCTAGTATGGACCGTTAAAAAAATAACAGGGGGTCTCCACACTTTTTACTAACCCTGTATGATGAAACTATTATCTCAGGGTTCTAGGGGTATCGTGCCGGCTCAAAGTAGACTTATGTGATTTTGATAGGCATATGCCTAATGTCCATCACAAGTTACCGTTCAATTACACACTTTTGGAAAGATGAAAGTTCAAATTTGGAATTTAGTAAAATATTAAAATGGTAATTTAAGTTGGTTTAAGTTCAAAACGGCAAAAGTCAATGAAAACTCTTGGAATGTAAGTATTTTAACAAAGTAGGCCTAAATAAAGTTCATTTGGATCTCACCCAAAATATATTTCTCGATGTAGAGATAATACTAAATAATTAAAGACAAATATTGATGTTTAAATACTGCACACAGTTGCAGCAATACTGTTTAAGTTTTGTAAAATAGTTCAAAAGGTAGAAATAACTTCCAGTTATTACAAAGTTTAGCTTTTAAATAATAAATGACAATGTTTGAGGTGAACATGAAATATGGAAAATTTACATTAGGTGAAATCTTTTGCTCTTTTACTGTATGAAAACGTGTGATAATTTAGAGCTATTAATTGAACTAATAGTAGGCCTAGGTATTTAGATACACAACACATGGTTTATAAACAAATTATATAAAAATTTAAAAGTAAACAAGGATGATAATTGTGGAACATCTCAGTTAAATAATAAAACAGATAAATAAACTTTTATACCAGCGAAGTTTATCAATGAACATTGATAAACTTCTAACTTTCATATTAACTTTTATATTAAACGAGCCTTAGATATATTTAAGCAAATAATTATACCATACAGATAAACTTCGTAAAAAATAAGTGAAAACATAGGAAAGCTCTTAGACTGATGTGCTGTCATCTTTGCCCCCCCCCCCAAGTAAATAGTTAATTAATAAAGAATAACTTGTCTTTAAACTTAACGATCCGATGTTAAAACTAAACATACTGCATCTTTTACCTAGTTAAAATAAACGTTTGTCCTCTCGACATGCGCAGAGATGTAAGAAAAAGATCTTAGGTGTAGGCCTATTGCTAATCTAGAGGTTAGCTGTTTGGACTTTGCACCACTTACCCTAAAAGGGCTTGAGTTCTCTGTACAACACCTTCAGTAAAAATGGTATCAAAACGTGGATCAAAATGGATAACAAAATTACCTTAATAATTGATTAAGGATAAAACTGTGAATCTAAGTATCATTAACTATCTCACCTATGCAAAAAGAAAAGTCGGTTTGTACCTTTTTACCTGCTGAAATCGTGCATAGAGAGATCGTTGATGTAAAGACCCGTGGAGACGAGAGAGTTGAGGTCTGGCATGACGGGTGTGCCGAGGTACATGAGCATCCGCCAGTTGTCCATGTAGATCATCTGGCCTATAAAAAGATGAGATTTTGTGGGATGATAATCAAAAAAGTAATTTGTGGACCTACAAATAACCAACAAATAATAATCTACCCACCCTCACAGTTCTTGAACCACTGTCTTTCATCGGGATAATGGACAGTGGTTAAATCTAGTGGTTAAAAATCTTTCGCAGTTCCTAGTATTTGTTTTTAAACCAATGAATAATTTGGAAAAGGGTTTTCTAGATTAGGTGAAAATCTAAAACTTGGCACGTTTTAGTTATTGTGCCCATTAAAAAAAGTAAAATTTTACAAATACAACCCCCCCCCCCCAAATATTAAACCCTCCCACCAATGTTATTCTTACAGGTGCATGAGTCTAAATCACGTTTACCCATTTCTAGATTAACTGGATATCTGAAATTTGGCACGATTGTAGCTCTTGCGCCATGTCCCCCGTGGCTCATTAACCCCCAACCAAAAATGGTTCAGCGAGCCAAAGGCGAGTGAAGCTCTAACGGATCATGGCTATAATGGAGGCTTCTCAAGGAGAAGGCAAAAAGAAAAAACAGCTCGGCGTATGAGGATACTGGTAAAGGAATCTGAATGGTGGGTTTTAATTGGAAAAATCCTACTCCGCCAATAAGGTTTATTAATCAACAAACTTGTTAGGCAATACCAAGAGAACAGTAACATGACTTAACCGAATACATTACAACATAAAGTTATGTTTAATAGATTACATTCCTTCTCCCTTAACTTTATAACCATAAAAAAAATCGACAATGAAAAAACCAGGACTGTATTTAACTCCCACAGATTGACGGACACTTTAAGTTGCTTTGTAGGCAACAACCGTGCAATCTCCAATTTTTGTAGTGTTTGTGAGTTTGCTCTTCGTCCTCGGTTATAGACTGTAGTTCCAAGTTACTAGAACAACTACCACTAGATTGCCAGTCCTCTTGTTATAAAGGTCCACTGGAATACGTGTGCTTCTTCTTATAAGTTTGAAGCTTCAATACGGCTTTGGGGTTTTGCTGCTATGATATGCAAAAGCATTAAAATGTTATCAGATTTGCCAACAGGGTGCAGCACTATTATTTTTTTGGAATTTATGTAAACAGCTTATTTGAACTAAGCAAAACAAAAACCATGATATGTACACAATGAGAACTGTCAAAGTAGGATTGTTTCCAGTTATGTTTATGTTTTTATTTTCATGAATAATTATTTGTGGTATTTTGCTAATTTTTTATGATTTATTTTTCTCTATTGTTTAGGTGAAGTGGTAGAACATTATGGCTATGGTAGATGAGTAATACTATAGTATACCGTAAATTTAAAGAAGCAAATTTTATAAAACTGTGTCCTCCCCCAAAACGCAGAGCACGAGTATAACTGCAATAATCATTTTAGCCAACCCCGTATGAAGGACGGGTAAGCTACTCTGCTAGTATGTTAAATAGATGGGATGTCTTACCTTAATGTCCAAAAGAATATTTTAAAATACAAAAAAAAACTATGACTAGTTAACAGTAGTCATTGTTTTAAACCAAATAACGATAATCTTACAAAAATATTGATGTTAATGCCTTACTCGACAGAGGTGTTAGGGTCTCCGTATATCTCTGAGAGAGACCGAGAACTATGCCCTATGGAGAATCTCTATCTCATCTTGGTCAAGTCTCTGCCTGTCATCCTCGGAGAACTTGAAGTCCTTGCTATTTGCACTAAAATTAGCGTAGCTTCCAAACGAGTTGTAACTTTCTTAATTCCTTCTTTTATAGCTGTAATTCTAAAACTGGAGCTTTACAGGAATGTCAGTTAAAATAAGTGTTTCCCCTTTTTCTTACCACATTTTCGTTGAGTTTCCGGGGACCTGCCTTTGGATACGGAGCAATATCATCTGGTGTGAGAATGCGGCTCTATTCTTCGAAATTGGAGTACTTGCAGTTTTAATGTTAATAAGGCCCACTGGATGGTCCTGACTATAGTTCATGTACCTTTTTGCTTGGCTGGGCTCCTTTGGTATTGGGACTGAGGTATTCCCTTCAAAAACCTCAGGTTTGGTCTGTTGTTGATGCAGGAAGAAAGTCTTCATCATTGAATACAAATGTATGGATGCCCATTGCCTTAAGCCATGAAATAATATTTCTTGGCTTAATTACAGAGGGGAAACCGTGCCAATAACTTCTTCGATGTTGTAAACGGTCATTGGAATCCCTGGGCGGCTAAGTAACCATTGTTGAGTTGCCCTGTCGCATGCTCCTTTAATATTACAAACATGTTCTAAAGGTTTACTATAACTCCCTGAAAACCCTACGTGAAGCGTAATTACTTTATGATTTCACAAAGCAATTACCCTAGTTGTTTGTATTACCAATCACCAAGTCTTCAGTATATTGATTCACTCTACATCAGTAGTTGAACCAGCAAACAGTGACTTTGTATAATTATTGTGTTGGGGGTAGAGTAGTGGTTTAGATTTATAAATGAGTGTATGAAAAACTGTCTCAACTTCTTGCTAACTGCTTTCACGAGTTCAAGGAGGAAAGTTGCAAAGCAACATAATCGACTTAAGAAGCCTGAGACGATTACGAACAAAAATCGTCAAAAGGAAAAGGAAAACCAAAGATCCATCTGAACCTCCGAAAATACCACAGCTTTAGAGGTTTAAGAGGAAACACTCTCTTTTTATATTTCAAGACACAATACAGAGAAAAAAAAAACAATAAAAAAACAAAATCTACCTATAATATATGTAGAACTACATAAGAATGTGTTATTATCCTTGATATTCGTTATTTTAGTTATTTACTTGGTTATTAATTTGTGTTTGGGAAAAATATAACGTAAAACTGGTGGATGTATAAATAATATGATATTCTCACTTTTTACAAATCTGGCAGGTTCATACTGGTATGTATCCATTTACGGTATTTGATATTAATATAGTTTATTACATCTAAGATATTTATTTGAGAAACGTATAAATTAAGCGCATCTCTACTGCTCTTCCTACTACATATTCCCAAACCACGGTGAATATATCGGCCATTTATTTGTGTTGTACACGTTTTGTGTTGTACACGTGTTATCGACTACAGTATCGCGGAGTGGGGGAGGGGGTGGGGGTTGGTCAAGGGGTGTGAGGAATTGTTTGATCACAAGCAGCAATCTGTTGGCCATTAATCGTCGACCGTCTGCAGCGCCGCTAGCGCGGTGTCTAGGGACGTGAACGTCACCGACAAGTAAGAAATATTGCTAGACGTCAATTACGGAGAACCCCCACTCTTAAAAGCATTGAAAGGCAAGGTTATTTTAGTTTTATATTTTTATATTTTCTCTGGAAGCAACACAAGGTACAGATAATTTATAACAGTAGCATATAAGAAGTGTACTAGTTCTAATATAAATCATACTATAAAATAAGGATCCTATTCACAGCACTGGCTTTTAAGTAATTTAGCACGTTAGATAACTCGTCTACACCAACTGTAACTTAAAACATTTTAGGATGAGACACTCTACAGTGAGCTATGATCGGAAAGGTATTTTTTTCTCTGTTCTATAAAGTATGGCACAGTAGTTCTGTTAACTAAGTTTTCCTTTCAGGTTAGTTTGATTTAAACAGTGGGTTTATATAACTTAAATCAGTATCGTAATTGACGGAAGCACACCAGCTAGAGCTTAATTCAACTTAACTGTAACTTAACGTAAGTATGAATAAATAATTATTGCAAAATGTAGTGAGATGCGTATTGTACTTTTCCTACTGACTAAGGAGCAGCTGTTCCATTCGCCAGATCCATTTTTAAATTCCAATGGTTAACGTCAGCTGTGTTCTGTTTTGAGCCATCAGCTACTTACTTTTCTCGAAATCAAACCAGCGGCCATATTGTTACCAAGAGTCTATTAAAACAATGTAGCAACTCAACTATAATACTTTGAATTCAGTACTATCAACAGCAGTGGCCATAACTGGGTATATGTGCAAGGTGTTATTGCTTCGAAAACTAAATGTACAATGCAGTTGGCTGCTTGCAGTATTTAACTGAGCAAGCTCATTAATACTTTTGTTAAATGTACTGTCCTCATAATAAGTAGTTTTTTATTTAATATGTTATGTTTGACTTAAAATGAATTACAAAAGAAATGCTAAAACAGTATAATTGATCTTTTATTTACACAATCCACATTTAGAATAACATTAATACAATAACAATTCTTAAGTTTATGGCTGAATAAGGGAACATTGACATAGCAGTTTTCTAGGTTTTGTCGCACAAACCGTATCATTGTTGATAGACTTGAGAAGGCGGTCTCGAGCAAAGCCTGGTTCAATTATACGCCTTCAATAGACCGAACCTGTCACACTACAACGCATGTAAGATCTAGGACAAACTCTGACTTAGGCAATTTGAAGAAAACACTTTCTTATTGTGCGACATGCATTATTTTTACGGAATCCAACTGTACATAGTAAGACAGGGAGAAAGCCATTACATATTGTTCATTTGTATTCATTAAAACGGACCATAATACATATTGGAAAATCACGCATAGTATATCTATTTAGTCTATAAACGATATCAACTACAGTTCCCAGACTACCGTTGCATAAACCTAAGAGACGTATAAATGTTTTGGCGTAGTATTAATTGACAACCTTGAGGGAGAGCTGCAGATTTACCTGTAGTTGCAATGAAAGTCGAACTCTTCTGTAAAGAAGGCCTCAGAGTAGAGCGGATCGTTCTTTTCTTATGATGAGGTCTTGCTCAAGTGCTGAGGTTTAGGCACAGAGTCAAGCACCTTCTCGGGCGCGGGTTTTACGAAAGTGTTCGTTGACGCTGACGATTTCCTCTCGTACTTTTAGTTCGATTGTTGGAAGGTTCACAATTTTGAAAACTTTTGAAATTGGCTCGAGTCGGGGTCTTTAGATTGCCACCCGCCGCGGCCTCGAGATGCACCTCTACCTCTGTAGGATCAAGCAACAGCTGGGTATCCATTAAAGTTTTGAGAATAATAGCTCCAGTGTCAAATCTATCTGGTTTTACACAAATCTTTCCATGGTATAAGTTTGAGGTAACGAAAAAGAAATTATGAATAGTCTAACATTTGAATTGATAAGATGAATAGATTGTAATGAAAGTAAAACCCCAGATTAATTACAAACATAATAAAGGGTTTTATTCATCTTAAAACTGAACTATGAACAAGTAATTTCATTATAGTGGAATATAAACAGAGATGAGTATTTACTAATTAACATATGACAATAAACATATTAAACAATTAAATCATGTGAGGTAAGTTTAGTTGTATTTTATCAGATTTTATTCACTACTGTAGTCCTTGTGCTTCCTCATCGGAAGCATATTAAGATCTTATGTTTTCATTTTGTTAAAACTGCAGGTTTGTTATGAACAAGTAATTGCATTATAGTGGAATATAAACAGAGATGAGTATTTACTAATTAACATATTACAATAAACATATTAAACAATTAAATCATGTGAGGTAAGTTTAGTTGTATTTTATCAGATTTTATTCACTACTGTAGTCCTTGTGCTTCCTCATCGGAAGCATATTAATATCTTATGTTTTCATTTTGTTAAAACTGCAGGTTTGTTAGAGGACCGCAACATTTGTTGATTGTTCTAATCTATGGCGTGTTTCTTAGCTTTTATTACATATTACTTAGCACATGATACATGGTACATGGTATTACGCTTTAATTTTAGCAGCGTTGTTTGATACAAATCGAGTATATCCAAATCATACGTTTGTCAATCGCTGAGAGCAAATGAGTTCCAACCATTGAAATCGCATCTCAAATAATGATTTTGACTATGAAAGTCTTTCTGCAATAAGACACTCGGTCTTGCCTGTTCAATTGGAAACTATACCACAACCTGTTTGTATTATACTTAGTGCTGTGTGTATTGTTTGCCAGTGTTTATTAGCAGCCACGCCTGTTGGCGTGTTGGCCCCAAATAGCACTCGAGCTACCATGTATTTGGATTCAATCGTATTTATCATTTGATGTATGATAAACGACGTTCCTGCTGCAGCTACTCCTTGCACGAGTGCAAGCTATTCGCTCGAGTTATTCCCTGGTTAGCGTACCGCCTGTCCAGTATATTTTGTTGACCCTCGATTCTTGAATTAAATTGATTCTTGATTATTGAAGTAAACGATTCTTTCCATGTTACGTGCGTTGATGTACGCCGATGTTTCCCCATGCGAAATGCATTAGTAAATTTTGCTTGTAGTTGCTTGTAGATGACCCCGTAATTTTCTTAATTTACTCTTAATTTACTACTTTCTTAATTTACTAATTAGAGGTGTAACAACTACTAGATGGCGCTGAAGGACGCGCTATTTTCTAAAGATTATAAGCTTACTACAATTAATCTTGTGCTTTGTGGCAAACTCGCATAATGTCGTTGGTTCTCGCATTAGTGGCCCATAGTATAGTGATCCAAAATAGAACTTGGTTAACCTAGTCGGTATCCGTAGCTGTCGTATTCGCCACTTAAACATAGTCATCGGTTGAAATGTAGAGTTTTACAAATTGCCTATTGAAATGATGCAGAAGCTCACCCGTGAGAAGATGCATAACTTCGCACGGTGAAATATCACGTTGAAAGCCACAGTAGGTTTCAACCCACTAGATCTTCGCGATCACGTGACGACCTAAATAACTTTGGTGATTTTTTTTTTCACTTAATCATACTTTGTGAAAAGTGTTAAAACATCTTGTGTTTGGGGTTCTTCTTTTTTGCACATTTCACAATATCGTGTTCAGATGCGATAATCTTGCGGCCAATGTACGCTTGCCATAGTTGGGCTGTGATCATTCAATAGTTTATCGTTGCGCTTTACTCTATATTGCCAGACTCCTTGTTTATCTTTTGTCCATGTAGAATCCAACAATTTGGAAACCAAACCGAGATTCTAGAGGGTGTGAGGGTTCTTTTACGTAGTAAACACTGTGTTAAATGCTTCACTGTACTCTGTTCAATAGTTGTGCGACATCTGATCTCCGAGGACTACATCAGTCGTCCAAAAACTTGAAGGATGTTTTTCTGCTCGTCGTACGTCTATTCCTGGATCATACACTGACACTATAGTATCATAATTAGCTTTATAAGCTACAAATTATTCATCGATCGACGCAGTATCGACGTACGGACATCTGGTGGATTTTCAAGCGCAAAATAGCCTTACACCATAACCATGAGGACTTCTATACTATAGCGTTGGTATTCAAACGCCACAAACAATCACTAATGTTCAAAGTTTCCTTCAAAATATACATGACAATGCAAACACTCTTGGAAAAGTACTTGTCTGCAATAAGTAGGGTTTTGGATTTACATCGCTATATTATTGTATACTAGCAGAGTAGGGTTTGATGTATGTTTGAATCGTGGTTATTGCAATCTTAAATACAAAACAGTATAAATAAGTAAAATCAAGGGAGTGGAAACAATTTTTATGTTAACGTAAAAAAAATACATTTACAATGCAGACTTATAAACAATATTTACAGCTTTGTTATCTTTCGTGAAAATATATGGGTTTTTTATACTGGAAACACGTGAGCAAGCAACGTATAATTGCCCATGGGAGAAACATTGTGTCTCCGAATACAGGCCTGACCCGGTGGAGTCTGTCCTTGTGCTTCATTAATCGTCATAGATAAGGCAATTTTTACGGGGAATGTACGGGCTTTAAATTGAAGGGGATTTTTTTCTGTTAAAGTTGGTATCGTGTGAATGAGTTCTTCTTTTCATTCATTTGCAGGACTAGTTAGCTTCCATTACATTTTCTTTTAAAGAAGTAATTAAAAGCCTGGTACCGTTACACAACCTAGGTGGCCTCTAGGTTCGTAACCAGTATAACTGGGATGCCCACTTGCAATTCAAACTTGTAGGGGTGAACACCAGGCAGTTCCAGGGTGTTAAGAAACTCATCAGGGTAGTGAAGAGCTTTTTTCTTCTATAATTGAACCAATAGACAAATAAGGTTTGATTTTAACATGAATAATGTTCATAATTTTACTGTTGATCTTGTTTACATCATCATTTTGGGGGCTAAGATAGATCTGCAGGATAACCATTCAGAATCGTAATGATTGTTTGGTAAGTCTAGAAACACATTTGATATAAGCTCTTCCCCAGAAGCAACAATGTGACGAATGTTTTCAGGGAAGAAAAACATCTTATGTTGGTCAATTATTCTACCCTCGCCAATCTTGAGCAAATTATTTGAGAATTGGCTGTCGTCACGGTCGTTATGGAGACTTACCCTCATGTTTTGAGCCAAACGGTACTGCTCAATAAGTCTCCATAGCAGAGACTTTTTCAAACAGTTTTTAATTTTATCTGCTGGAGTCCCACGTTGGATAACTACTGGTAGGGTTTGTTAAGTCACCTGGCAAAAAAACAACTAAGCCCCCCATTAAATTTTGACTATTTGTGCTATCTTGAAGTGTTGCATTCAATGCTTCAAAGGCTTGTTTGTGAGACATCGTACATGCATCCCACGCCAGTAATTTACAACGTCAGAGGACTTCAACTCGATCAGAGGTTTATACATATTTACATACTTACTATTAAAACAAACACAAACACAATTAGCATTAGTATTTATAGACACCAAAGCCAAGTAAATATACAGCTTAATTTTTTAATTGTTGTTTTTAAATTGAAATATTTGTGTACCAGCTTACAATTAGTAAATTTAACAAAATTTAAGCAATGTTTTTGTCAAGGAAGTTAAGTTATGAAGAAGTTAGATTAAAATATCAGTAGGCCTACATGTAATGACGATCAAACGCACATGAAGGATTGCTCACAATTAGAATAGAGTTTAAAATCTACTTGAAGTATCAAAAGTTAATTATAGAGGCAGGTAGCAGCAACCTCTGGATTAAAAAAACATAACATCATAACTAAGGGTAGTAATTTAATATTATGGTTTCAAAATATACAATTAATTATCTCTTTGTTAAAGAAAAACTCTTTTTTTTAAGGTTTGTGCCTTGATCTAAACACATGTTAAGTATATTAAAATTGTAAACATAAATATTTTTTAAAATAATTCAAGTAATATAAAATCATAATTTTACAATTTTTTCACAAAAATCCGTCGATAAAATCTTTACATTAGCAAAATTTTAAATAAATAATTAGGGTTAGAAGCTAGTTTGATACAGTTACAGTAGTACAATCTTACTTATTCCCTATCATCAATAATCAATGAACCATAATAATATAAGAATAAATAAACCTGTCACGTGGTTGTACAGAATATCATATGCCTATTTAATTTTTGAACGAGCGGTGTGGAATTGTGAATTATTATGCTTTGACAGTTCTGCTTGTTTACATTTGGGTGGCATAGCAAAATGTAAGCATGTGAGTGTACCGTGGAGACCAATCAATATTTATTTTTAAAATCCTTACTTCAGAACTTTTAAAGCCAAAGGGACAAGGCCCACCGTCATCGAAGTGTGAATTGTTCTATTACAATCCTTGGTATGGTAGCTATATTTTTGTAAAATTTAAGCCCAGTCAGTTCAGTAGTTTTTACATTATTTAGTAACAAAAATACAGACACCATTAGATTTTTATATAATAGTATATATTATTCGCTGTATTATCTTCGAACGACCTCGTTACATATTCTCACGAATTCAACCACGCAACATAAAGCCTAACTTAATTAGTTATTTATTGTTGTCCAAATGCATTTAAGAAGTAGCTTATAAAAGAGAATGAGTTACCTTTAAGCCTGAGACTCTTCTCGTCTGGACTGCCGTCGTCCTCGAGAAGCTCAAGCTCTCTAGAGTCTCCCTTACACACACGGTGTTCGCCAGTACGTTCCCCCAGTACTGGCTCCACTGTCACTAGCTCGAAGATGTTGTTGGTGCGGTTCAGAATCTGAGAACGCCAAGAGTTATATTGTTATCGATGCGCAATCGTTTGTTTTATCAAAGGATGTAGCAAAGTGAATAGGTAGCTGAAATGTTTAAGTCAATTTTCAGTTAAGAGTCTTATTGCTACTTTGGTAAAAAACAATATCGACAGAAGTTCTAGCAAATTTAGCAGTATTCCCTTGTGGATTCACTAACAGGAATCTTCACTATGCGTCATCTAAAACGATTTTTTTGCCCTCATTTGTAGTTTGTGACATTTCAATTTCTAACAATGATATATGTGTTTACCTTCTCAAGTCGCTGGCATTATTATATTGTTTGTCTAATAGTCTTCAAATAATCGTGGTTTCATTATAATATAATAACATGTCTCAAAAAAATTAATTCAAAGATTTCATGTAATGATAGTTTTACAGCAAGTAGAAAAAAATCGTAAAGTTTCTTATGGTATTATAATGCGCTATATGTATATTTTCTTATGTATAAAGCTCTATACAGTATAAAAGCTAGGATGGATCTGGACGTAAATATGTATAGTTGAAAATTCTAGACTGTCTTATTAATCGACAGTGCAAATGTAGAAAAATGAAAGAATTTATAAAGATACGATCCGTGATTAGAATAAATACTTAGAATAATTTTCAGCAAAAAATGTCAAAGTCTCAATTTCCAAGTCTGCTCTAAGCTCAATAATAATGCAATGAAACATACATTATTTTATTCGTTGATTGTTTAACTTTGCGTTATAATTGTGATAACAACATCCAAACTCAGTTTTTAGTTTTTTGAAATTTAAATTCAAAAGGCGATATAAACAAAGACCAATATCCTACCAAATTTTCATTTGAGTGGTGATTGGTGCTTGTAAAGGAAGAACTAATCTACTGGGAATCTCCATTGCTTTGTGGGCCCTCTGTTGCCTAAATGGACCGCTTAAATACAAATTTCCCTTACGGCTGTTACATACAATCTAGAATTTTTAACTTTACATATTTACTCTTTTTTATACATTCCATTTTATTGTGTATCGTACATCGCTACTAAATAATAGTTTGAATAAGCTAGCAGACACGATTTTCTATTCAATTTCGAACTCCTTTTATAATTATGTAGACAACGGGAGAGAACGTAGATAGTATATGGCGATTCTTCACCACCTTACCTACTCAAATGCAAACCCAGTGGCTCTGGAGTTTCCCATGTTAACCTTATGAATATTTATATTTTAAGTGGAATTAATGAATCTTAACAGCTGTTTCAATTAAACATGTTGGTTCTGTTCTATGATGTTCAATAGCATTAAAGTTACAAGGATTACCAACAGGGTGCAGCACTATTATTCTTTTATTTTATGACAACAGCTAATTTGCAACCAAAAGGTGAGTGAGCGTAGAGAACGAACTTCAACCTGGAGGCGAGTTAGCGTGGCGAACGAGCTAACCTGAAGGCAAGTGAGCGCAGCGAACGAGCTCCAACCTAAAGGTGAGTGAGCGTAGCGAACGAACTTCAACCAGGACGTGATTGAGCCATGCGAACGAGCTCACTTATGAAGTAAAACGGGGCAAAGCCCGCGGGTACAGCTAGTTTAATATACATTAATGTTTTCAGTAGAAAGCGAACAGCTGATTTTGGTTCGAGGGCCGTAATAACCTGCTCCACTCAACGTTTGTAAAACGGCTAAAAACATTGTAGTGTGGTTAAAACGTTATTATTGGTAGTTAATGATTTTCATTACTACCTTATGGCTTTAAAACTTATTTGTATAATGAAGATGTGACAAGTAACAGTTAGTAAGATGGAGAACCTTTATGAGAAAAAAAATTATCATTAAAACTGTGCCCGATAACAATTTAAAAAATTACATCTAACTAATATGAAATTTATAACAACAAAGAAGGCAACACAAATCATTACAGGTAATACAACTTTCATTTGCAAATCATTAGGTCGTAAGAGCTGTGATTTGGGTTTCCAATTTCATACACGATCTGTAAGCTTTCAATCAGGACTGGGGATTCACTTTGAGGAAGGCAGTTGTAATGGCTTGTGAATGACACGTTCGTTAAGCTTCAAAGGAACAGAAATGTCAACATCGTATCTGGAATGTTTCCTAGACTTGTATACAGGTTATGAGGTGGCAGGATAAAACAATTCAACTATTTCAATGTAACTTTAAAAAACTATTAAAGCAATTAAAATATGGCTAAGGTACTGTTGAGAGTGTAACGTGCAAAAATTGGAGTACTGAATGGTTAGAGAAATAATAAATATTAGGATCCACAATGCATAAGTGAAGATTATACTTTTTACGATGCAAATTCCGTTAAGTTAAAAAACCTGCTTCCAGTGTTTGTACATTTTGAACCCTCAGGGACATTTGACACTAAGCAGTCTATACTTGGAACTATTTGATAGTAAATTGGGGTTAAGGAAGGTCTTTGGGGAGACCCTTACCAGACCAACTTACATCCTTTAATGATACGACATTTTAAAGGAAAACTTTTTTACTGCATAAATATAATTCTATTTACCTTGTTTTCAGAATGATAATTACTTACCGCGGCAATAAGAAATAACTATTGAGGTTATTTCATACTATTGCTATATTTTATAATGTGTATAGTTTGTTTGAGGATTGTGATACTATGTTTGTAATTAATTTAGGGGAGTGTGATATAAAATATGATGTAAATCTTTTTACTGTAAACTCTCCTCACAACATTCATTTTAGATTAGGCCTATTCTATGATGGTTTAAAGTTAATAACAAAGATATACGAATTACAAAAGGTATTTTATTGGAAAAAATGAACAAACATGCAATGAAATATAAAAGGCCACATATTGCGTTATAATGAAAGGACTGACAATGGAGTGTGCCCTGAAAATAAAATAAAAAAGAAGATAAGTTTGAAATAAAGGTTCAAATTTACAATAGTATATAATTTAGATGTGCTTTATCTCAGGGTAGGGTGTCGTGCTGGCTTGAATGCTAAGAATTAATAAAATAAATAGTGTCCAAATAAATAATGTGTTAAACTTACAACATCCCAACAATGAAAAATCTAATTTTGAGGTTGTCCAAAAGATAAGTCCAATGTGCACTGAATTTAAGAGAGTTTAAAAGAAAAGTTTATTCTTAATTTTGAAAAATTATGTTGGAGTTAGTCCTCTTGAGGTTGACTGTAATATAACTTGAATATAAACTGGTTTTTCTTAAATCTGGACTCCTTCTTTTAACAGTTTCAACTTTCAACTATGGCTTCCCTTATTTTCAATCTCAATGTTCATTGTTGAACACATGGATCACTGTTTCACTGCTTCTTGAATTTTGAATTTTTTCTTAAGGACTAATTTTGAAATTATATTATAAGAAATTTTGATGTATTGCAATTCTCTTACATATTTAATAAATAACAAAGTTGTGGGCTTTGTAACAGAATATATGGGCTATGGAATGAATATTATTAATGATTAATTGAACAGATTAATGAAATTGTATAAATTATGAAAATGAATACCAGGCCAGCCTTTCTGAGGAGTGATTAATAACAAAAGTGTATGAACAAAAAAGTTAACATATTTTAAGAAATTTAATACTAAATAATGGATTAATGAAATGAAATATTACATTACTCGAGTTTTAATTAGATATAATTCAGCAACATATTATTTTTTTACTAAATTAAAAGAAGATTAGATTAAGGATGTATTTACAATTCTGTCACATTATGACGGCCAAGTCTCAAATTTATAAAGTCACAAAAAAATTATATTCATGATTATCTGTTTAGAAGACAATGTAGTAGAGAAAATTACAAATTTTTCAACAAATTCGTTGAACCTGAAAATTGGCAGACTGGTGTTTTTACTCTTGTCGATAAAAAAAAACTAGATTTATTTGCATAAATCTTTTTTTCTATGATTTATTATTTCCATAAGAAGAATCAATTTAAGAACTACAAGGAAAACTGGGATAAATAACAAGTTAATGAAAAGGAAAAAAACTTATTAAGATTAATAAATATCTTCTCGTGTTAGTAATGGCTTAAATTTGGTAGTATTATGCAGATAAAAAACTAAATCTATAGGAAAATGTATTGATGTAATAAAAATTAACTAACTTATGAAAGCAAGATTAAGAATTCTTAAAATGGAATTAAATCTACTTGGGATATTATCAACTCAGAAACATTGCAGGATACAGTTTATTCCAAGGATAAAATATTAAATTGAAACAAAATAGCTACATATCCTCTTGAAATTAGCAATTTGTTTAGTCCGTATTTAATCAATATTGTGGAGAACCAGTCTGTTAATGCGCCCCTCTGTAGCCATAATTAAAGACCAGTACTTTTGCTATCAACAATATCCTAAATTCATGAGGAAATAGCGAAATTCTATCCTAGAAGACTTTGTACTATTGTGTTAATCTTCGCGTTGACAGTTTACCGTCATCCTTCAAGATGGAACCAACTATAATGAAAGCTTTTCCTGTTAATTATGATGAATCAAAAGTATAATTTAAAATAAAACAAAAAAAAAACTCCGTGAAAGTGGCCGATAGTACAAAATTGTAATGAAGTAAAAGTAAAAGAAAACCCAGCAAAAGATCCTGAGTGTGTAAAGGTAAATTTGGAACGTTGAGTTAATAGTCAACTTGCAACCCAGTATGGAAAAAATTGTTAAACAACTCAATTTTAACCATTTTAGAAACTATTTCAGGAACAGTGCAAGTGCAAGAATATGCTCTCAGGTTTTAGATTACCATATATTGAAGCTTTTTGAAGAAATTCATAACTCAGATTGGGCAGCTCAGAACAACTACTTGCTTCGTCTGCTTAGGGGGATTCCCAATCAAAGACGACGTCACCAAAAAAGTACATCTTAACTTTTTTATAGATGTATAATTAATGTTAAAGAATAACGAGGTGTTAGCCCGTCCTACGTACGGGAATTCAGTAGTCAGTTAAAACCGTGTAGTGACCAATTCAGATCAGCTAGT